TTCTCCTTGTTTTCCCAGAGCACAGAGGGCCTCATTCCTGATCTCCACCCTGAATTCCTTTCAGGGTGTATGGTAGGTAGAACTGAATGACGGGCAACATTCTTTGTTTTACAGCTGTTTTGTAGTTCTTTTTTACATTTTCAGTTTTTGAACACGTAAAACATTTGTACGGTTCAAGAGATGAAGCTGTGAAAAGGAATGCTCAAAGAAATCTCCTGTCCCACCCCTTTCCACATTCTCCCACAGTAACCATTTTTATTACTTTTTAGTTTATCTTTCTTGTTTCCTTTTGAAAAAAAAAAAGATTATATATATTCACGGATCTTACACAAAGGACAGCATATTGCATGTCATCTTTTGCGCTCTGCTTTAAAAGCACATTCTGTCGTCTCATCTCAAGCCCTGTGTTTGTTTTTACCTTCCAGGATCAGTGGGATGACAGAATGTGTTAATCAAAACGTTACTAGTGGAATCATTTATGAACAACAAAAAGCATGCCTTCTTAACATCAGTTTTCAGGGCTTCTCGATAAAATGAGGGCTGAATGAGTTGCTCTCGGAGCTCCCTGGCCGTGCTAACAGCCTAAATTATTCTCCCAGGAAGGGGAAAGTGTCAGATAGTAATGACCCTCATGTCTCGGGAACTAAATTTCTATTTACTTCTCAACACCTGCAAAATTATTTTTGTGGTTGTAAAAGTTTTCAAGGGCATATTGAAGACCTGGAGCCTGGGGATGGGGTGGCTGAAGGAAGTAGGAGAGAAATCATTAACAGACCAAACGTGGTTCTACATTCCTTGAAGCAAACTCAGCATATAAAATGGAGATGTATAGGAAAGCGAAATGAGGGGTCCGTGTTTATTTTGATCAAGAAATCGTTTCTTTAGGAAAAGCTTCCCTTATAGGATCCTCTGAAGTAGTAGGCTTCTCGAGTGCCTTGAAAATGACTCAGTCTTCAAAAACCCGAGTCACACTTTTTTTGCAGAAACACTTGTGTAAGGCAACACGTCTATCTTAGTATCTAAATGTGGATCTCTTCAAAAGTGAGAACGAATCCGAATCTGTTGCTCATGATTTTGGTAGAGCTGAGCAGTGTGGAGGTAAGGCTGGGGGAGGGAAAAATTAACCAGAAATCCTTGGGTTTTTTTTTTTTTAAGGCCCATGAGAAGGAAATTCAGTATTTTTTTCTCACTGATTCTGGAAGGCTCCATATTTTGGGCCGGTTCCTAGTCATGGATGGGAAGCACAAAGATGCAGCAACCTTGCATGTATTATTACCATGCAGGTTAAAATGCTAGGTTTGAAATCAGATCACTTATCCCTTCTCGGTGATTTACGAAACTTGAGTGACATTATAACCCAAACAGAGTAAAACGCATTCCAATCAGGTCTGGGGTTCTCCTAACATCTTCATAAATTCAGTAACACTTAAACATCACCTATGAGAACCATAAAAAGACATTCTGAAGGCTTTTTCTTAAAACGTAAGTACGCACTATAAAGTACTGTTTTTAAAACATGATTGATTTGTTACATTATAAATTCAGCAGCACGTGAAACCAAGTTGTGTATATACCAAGAGTTCCCCTCTTTTTTTTCCCTTTCCTTTAAATGAGAGGCTACTCTCCATCCTCCAGTACTCCTGGGGCCATAGAACAGGGAGAGGAGAGGTGGGCGGGGTACAGTGTCAGGCGCGGGGGGCTGCGGCAGTCCGAGGGGAAGGAGTGACAGGGCTGCATGGCAGCCAGCTCTGGGACTTAGCAAGTCAGGGTGCATGATCTGTGCTGTGTGTCTGCACCTTCGCCGGGGACTTTCGCCTGCCGCTGTTGTGCAAAAACACACGACGGGTGCCTCCACAAGGCACGACGTTAAGTGTTGAAGTCCTGTGTAAATTTAATTATCAGCATGAACTGAAGGTACTGTCATCGTTTAACTCAGCCGACCTTTTAAATGGATAACCAACCTTGAGGCTTAATTGGATTCAAAAAAATCAATTTCTAGCCACTGCCTATCGTGGAAATGAAGCGCTACATTCTCAGGCAACTGTAAAATCAGTTCTGCTTGAGACTATTTTTTATTATTTACAACATCAACATGACATGATCCATCTTGGTCAGCGTTTTATGCAGACGTACACCTTTTATGCGGACAACCGCCGATGGACACGTACGCACACCGAGGCACATCACAAAAACAGCACTGCTGTCTGCTGGGCGGCAGCCTTAGTCATCGGCAGCCAGCTCTTCACACCAATTACACGAAAAACTGAGCTCGGGGTAATGACATACCGCTGTTGGCAAATCTCTCTTAGCCTCAGTCTGCTCTAATCTTTGTAATAAGAAAAAAAAAAAATCCTTGAGGAAGCTTTTACCAAATCACATCTTGACCATTAAATCTTTCTGGAAGAAGGTCATTTAATTTTAGGGAAAGAAATGAACAATGAAAAGGGCGTAAGCAGAAACAGTACTGGTCTGGAAATTGGGAAGTCTAAGATTCTAGTTCCCGCCATGCGTTCCACTAGTCTTGTGACCCTGGCAAACCCTCTGTCAGCTCTCAGTTTCCCCATCTGGAAAAGGGGGAGGTTTGGCGGGGAGAAGGGGGGCTGCTCTATTTCCCTAACAGCTGAGGAAAATGGAGGTCTATTATGGTGCCGAATCAGAAGGCCAAGTTTAAAAAAAAAAAAACAAAAACAGACATTTGATTCCCTCAGCACTTCCTCTGAGCAAAAGAGACCAAATGATGCAAACCAGAGCCCTTCTGCTTCCATTACAACAATTACAAAATGAGAGAAATAGTGATTCCTAACGACGGAATTTAGACAATTAGCTAAGAAGCAATTTTAGCATAACAGTTGACAAACAGAAATCACTAAACCCAGTGGCCTAGCTTAACTAAGCCCGATTTAAATGTGCATCGCATTGAGTGGAGTCTCACTTAAATGATCCATTTTAGCCAGATTACAGAGCTGAAACGGGGCCCCACACAATTATCTTAAACATTCAGGGCAGGCCAGAGAGCTCATTTGGACAATTGGACAAATGGTTATTTTCTTTTGCCTCAACTGACCAGATAATTGTACACAAATCCCTGCCATTTGATGCTGTGGAATGTCCCTTTGTGTTGGAAGAAGACCCAGCCACGGACCAGTAGACCACCGTGGGGGTGGTGTGGAGTCGGGGGACGGGATGCGCACGGCACACGGCTGATGCCCACCGTCCAACTCCAAGTCCTGAATCGGAGGCACCTTCAGACGTGCAGAGGTTCTACACTCCCGCACCAGCACCCTCATTAGTTCTAACACCCATCATTTCGAAGGGGGTTGTTGTCTCCCAATTTAAAAACAAAACTAAACAAAAACATCAGGCAGCAAGGTTAGAGGTGGCATCTGGGTGGTCGAGGGAACTTGGAGAGAGGAAACTAGGAGTTTTTAAAGGGCTCACACACACAGGGATCTACACCTCGGGCCCACATGTCCACGTGTGCACAGCGCTGAGTTTCAGAGTGTAGCTAACATCAAACAAGAGTGTGCCCCTCTAAGTCTTAGGAGGAGAGGACACTTAGGATAACCAGCCGATGAACTAGCACCATCCCATCCTCCCTACACCCGACTAATGAGTGTCCGATCTGTGGAGACAGCGAGCCAGTTTCTCCGCATGGGTCCCACATTTGACTAGGACAGGGGGTCCTGATGACCAGAGTTAATAAGCCAGCAGGTAGAGAAACACGCCACCCAATAAACGCAGAAGCAGATGGTGGCAGGCTGGGTGAGTCGTTCTGCTGTGGCTACACAGGTGTGACGGACAAACCAGGAGGGATTCTAGGCTGCTCCGACTCCAGGTTACCATCACAGCTCTGAGAAGGCGCTCAGGACACTGACAGGGGCAACTACTTGCAGCCTGCCCTCCTACCGTCAGTGTGTGTCCCCGAGAGGAACCACCCAACGGCCCACACGCGACACAGTCACGCCTGAGGGCCAGCACCCAAGGAGCTCTCTGCCCAGCAAGCAGTGTTTCCAATCACTGTACCTGCGCATCCCTGGAGCACCACCTCAAGAGAAGGCCACCAAAACCTCAGCGGGAACACGACCCACGAGGCTACCGCTCAAGGAACACACGCGTCCGGCAGAGCCCACGCGTGTGGCCGCTTCTACCGCGGCCCCATCAGGATGGAGCGTTTCTTCGGTGTGTATCCTCGGAGAGTGGACTTGATCGTGGACAGAGCCAATGGCTGATAAGCAAGCTGGGGGGCTGTGGTTCTAGTCCAAAGACAAGGGGAGCGCACAGGAAGAGGAGGCTGCTTCTTCCGAGTGGATCAGCGGGCTCCGAAGACACCGTGTTGCCTGGGGCACCAGCGACCTCCAAGGACTGAATGCCTGGTGCCCAAGGAGACCGCCTGCAGAGTCAGCTCCCGCTTCCATGTGTGCGGACCCTGGGGTGTAGCTAAGAAGACACACGCCCGGCGCGCCCCGATGGCATCTCTCGCCAGGCATGCACGGGTGAGAGTCAGCGATGAGTTAACAGAGAACCATCCCGGCCTTGGAGGAGCCCAGCACGTTCGAGGGGAATTACGGTCCTGGCTTTGAGTTCGACTGGCAAACACCACCCCTGAAATTTTCGGATTAATAGGATGGGAAACGTTCAAAGTCATTTAGAAGTTCAAGTCTCCCGGAGCCCGTGTGTACGAATTACTTCTCAAAAAGGCACACGTAACTACGGTTTTATCTAAGATCTCCAGTGTTTCTTGGTATGTATAGAGAGCATACATTTTCATCAGGAAAGTAATTATCTGCCTTTTTGTATAGTGGACAGCAAATCGATTGGTCCCCTTGAAAGCACCCATTAGACAGAAAGATGGACTCTCAGACACTGAGACAAAGGCCTCGGCACAAAACAAACAGTCATCAGCCCAAACGATCACAGAACAGGCCAGGCTCTCCCGAAACACAGACGCACGTGAAGAAAACATGTGCCCCATCGTTAAAATTAATACTAGGATAGCAGGATGTTCTTTAATCTGCACGACTGCTTTATTGTACAAAAAGTTTCCAGTAACAGTAAATTAGTTTTAAAAAAAGGACAAAAAAAGTCATTTTAGATAGAAGCGCTTCACTAATTGCTTTATTTAAGCACACAAGAAAAAAAGTCTTATCTGACCAATTAGGTTGGAAGGGTTTTATTACCTTTAAGAAGCCATTAGCCAGGATAAAACACTGAAAGCGCTTGTGTCAAAACAAATAAATAATGCTCTCTCAGTTAGCAGAGAACGCAGTAAATTCGTTAAATTAGAGATGTATGCGGCTTCACACCCATGGTGGGCGAGCCAGCACCTCCCCCCAACCCCAAATTAATAAAACAAGAGACAGTAGCTTTCAGTTACGATCTCCCGGGAAAGATCAGGAGCTTTGGGGAACTGACAGTTAATGTCTACGTTCCCCCTCTCCAGCCCTGGTCAACAGAGCCACCCAGGGCACGTTACAGGGGGCAGGGGTCCGGGCTGCGCCCCGAGGAGCCCTCCCTGTGGGTCCTCTTCTCGGGGCGCGCTCCAGGCGAGGGGAGAAACTGGGCAGGCCATCACCGCCACCAGAGCTGCCGGCAGGAAAAGGAGGGCGAGAAGGACCCTCAGGTGCCGGGACGCTGAGTACTAACCCGCCCCCCGCAACGCTGCCGCGCTTTCCGCAAGTGAAGGCTCAACAGAGCAAGTACAGTGTTTTGCGGTGCATGGGCTCAGGGCCACTTCCCCACCTTGGGCCACAGTGGTGGCAGCGGACGGCTGGGCTTTAGCTGGCACTGCACTGGATCCAGTCAGCTGCCCGGATCCCACACAGGATCCTTCAAACCATTCCTAGTCAGATTCATACTTTTACCCAAATGAGTTGGGTAAAAAACCCAACTCTAGTCACCCCATTCACTGAAAATAAATGCAAATGAACAGTGATCCTTTCTTAATGGGCCACTTTCCTTCAAACTTGAAAAGCTTCAGCAGTAACCCATATCACCATCGCAGGCTGTCTGGGAGGGAAGCCCCTCATCTCGACAGCCCCACTCCTAGGAGAAGCTTGACTCCATGAGGTCAAAACCGTTGAGACGAAAGACGCCTACGGCTACTCTCGAGGACCGCAGAAGCCCCCCGCCGTTTCAGGGGCGATCGAGGAGGGGCTGGCCTCTTATCCCCTGGCCTTCTTTCCCAATAAATAACTGTCAGGGAATGCCGTGCTATTTCCTGAAATGCCAGGGGCACCTTTAGACCCTCCTACGGCCGCATCAGCAATAAGAAAACCAGTGACTGCCCCGTGTCGTAAACCACTTGGGAGGGGAAGGCTGGGGCAGGGGTCTGGGTTTTAAGCCCATGAACTGTCTGGACAACTTGAATCTCGGGACTTGAGTTTAAATTTCTGGAAATAACTTCAAAGTCAATCCTAGAGAGACATTTTATGTGACTGGTCCAAATAAACGGCAGCACATTTAATGAGATCATGCTCTTTTAAAACATTTTAAGAAAGGTAAAAATCATGGAAAGCCATTGAAAATGATGCAAAGACCATTAAAACAATACTGGTGTCTCAAGACCAATTAAAACATGAACAACTTCAGTTTTCAAAGTTATCATCACTTTCCACATTATTCCACAGGTCCAGGAATATATTCAAGCACCATATTGATAATAGGTAAGTAAACAACAAAGTCCTACACTGGCGATCTGATTCACGCTCACACAAACGAGGGGCTTTTCTAGGCAAGATTTTCACAAATTGCAAGAATATGCCCACTTTCTGGGCATGGTAAGCGGCAATGGAAGGGCCAATAAATCAAACCACTGGTGGAATATTTTACTTTGAAATGGAGTGATGTGTGGTTAATAATTTGAGACCCACTAATCCTATATGGGGTGACCCATTTAGAATGGCCTCTGTGTAAATTCACAGTTCATTAAATGGTGTCTGGTTTGAACAGGTCATTAAGCAGTGAGTACATAAGCAATGCATTGAGCAAGGATGGCTGGGGACGAGCACAGGGACACACTGGCTGCTTCCGGTGACTTTCACGACACTACCGAGCTTCCTCTCAATGTGAGGTTATTTCAAATCACCAACTTTTAAATTTAGGTGGTTTTGTTTAGTAACCCCTTTTGGTTACAGGAGAACATGCAGTGCACAACTTTTAGATGAGGAATACTCCATTTACAATTAATTTAAACTTATAAAGCTGTTTTAACTGGTCCATCTAAATGTGTTAATTAACATCAATGATGGTTTCTTATTTTTTCACACTTTGTTACTCTGATCATTAACAGTGATGGAAAAGCTAAATTAAGTTAATGGGGAATGGATTACAAATTCTTAAAGGACTTCTCAGTTTGTTTTCAACTGGAAAATATATAGAGAAAAATGAAGAGGCATTTTTGCCTTTACTCATAAATTTTTGGTACCAAATTTCTTAAAAACCAGATGGTTTAAAAAAAATTTTTCCAAAAATTATTTTAACATGCTGCTCAGACATGACTGCTAAAAAAATAGCATATACAGATATAATATATTGAACAGCGTGAGGAGGCCTGTAAACCTTCAACTCGTTTTCTCTTTCTAAAAAAAAAATATATTATAACTGAAGAGAGAACTCATCTCTAATCTGCAGCAGTATCCAAGGTCCTTCAAGTGTTGACAGTGAAGGAAAACCAGAAGCCCCTTCCCCTCGCGTGAGCACGACTGTGCGGCCGAGTCCATGGAAACGCTCGCGGCCCCGACGGGCCCGGGGCCGCGCCTCCGCAGGAACCCACGGGCGCCGGGCGCGCGCACCCGGGTCCACGCGGGCCTCACACACCGACCCCACGCTGCTCAGTGCGACTTCACGCCGACGAGGACAACAATGAGGACAATGATGATGACAAATAATATTAAAATCACAAGCATCTTCCGATTCTTCTTTTGATACTGCTCTGCCTACAGAGAGAGGAGGGAAAAAAGGCCGTCATTTTCCCCAAAATCCCAAATCGCGTCTCGCTCACTTCCAGTCCTAGGCCTCTGGCTGCACCCACACACCCGACACCTCTGCCACCGGCTCCATCACCACGATTCCTGCCATCAGCTCCCGCGGGTTCAATCCACGCGAGTCCCATGACCCCGGAGCTCCCTATTTACCCGGCTTCGCTAACGCCCGCGCTGGGGACCCGCCATCACACGGAGGCCGCCGGAGAGGCAGAAGGCTCTGCTTTCAGATCCCTGTGGGCCGCTTCTCCTTACTTCTCCTTCCACTGACCGCAAGGACCCACTCTTTCAACAGAAGCCTCTCGCTTCCGGACACAGTTCTCTGGATGAACGCACAGCTCCTTCACTAAGAAATCGAACACCTGGCTAAAGTTACCACAGCCAGCAGGGATGGAACCGAGGGTCCCAAAGAAGCTTGTTTTCTACCTCCTCTGAATTTGGGAACAAGAAGAAACTCAACCTTTGAAGTAGAAACAGGAAAGTTGGCCCTGTGGTGTCAAGCGCAGAAACAACCCACGGAGTCCAGTGCTGTGCGTCTGGTGACACACACGCCCGTGGTGCAGAATGTGACCCACAGAAAGGAGCGGGGAGAAGAGAGTCGTGAGGGTGTCCCCGTCCACGTCGGGGAGAGCACGTCCTGCCCTTCCGTGGACAGCGCTGCTTCACAGTGAAGGGGAAAGCAAGGAGACAGCCTGAGGGCCGTACCTGCTCAGAACGTGCAACCTCTCCTGCCCTACTTCCCCGTCCCCACCAACCTTCCGACCAGAACGTCTGTTTCCTAAGCGAGCCTGCCCGCCCACCAGGAGCCACACAGCCACAGGAGGAAACCTCAGCGCAGACAGGTTCACCCGTCTGGAGAGCCCGGCCCGTGCGAAGCAGCTCCCAAGGCTCCATCAGCCTCAGATGAGCTGACCGCCAAGGCAACGGCCAGCCATGCCTGGAGAAAGAGGACGGCGCGTGCTTAGTTTTCTAATGAGTAACCTGCAACACCACGGAAGCTGACACCAAATGATACACTTCGAAACCTCTCAAAATGGTTTATAAAGTAGAACCTTCAACAAAATTTTTAGTTCCCACTAGATTTGTACACTCGCGCGGAGAAAGCTTTTTCCCCTTATCTGTGTTATATCAAAAAACAAGTTTCGCCAGTTTTTATTGAAGAAACTTCAAAACCGATGCATAATTCAACAGCATATGAAAGGCCGGGCATTACAGAGTGACAAACTAAAGTTAGTTTTCACTCTTTTAATACACAAAGCTTGGCAACCGAGTGAACCCAACGCTTAAAAAGCCCTCTGCATGTACAAGGCAAGCCTCTTTTTTCTCAGTATATGCTGGAACGCCACTCCCCATCCGGCATGTGGTGACAAAAGCACGTGGAAGAGGCAGTGAAGGGCTTCTGGTCAGACCTATGCGAGGTCTTTCTGTAAACCTGACACTACCGTCAGATACGGCCATCTCTGCCACAGGAAGTGGCTGGTTTCAGAAAGGTGATAGAGAAGTACATTAGTGAATGTACTAGGAAAAATGACCATTATATACGGCTAGGAATACTGCTAGGTCTCAAAGACATGAGGAAATGGACACAATTTATTTTATTTGTGAAGTATCACATTCCTTTTAAAGAAAACATGCACCCAATTATATATGAGAGTCACTCAGCAGCGTATGTGTATGTTTCTCATAACTCACTACAAGATTTTTAAGACGTTTTCCATCTATTTTTAACAAGTATCATGAAAAACATTCCTGAAACAGCCACTTTATTATTAGCCAAGAATCAGAGAGCTAATACTCTCACTTCAACAAACTACTCTTTCCTCAAGGTAGTACACAGATATACTGCGGTAATTAAAAGGGAAAATTAGATTTTTATCTTCTCCAGAATGAATCCCCACCAGCAATTTATCAGAAAAGTATCACAACAAAGAGAGGCCTGAGTCAGCAGCAACAAGCAGATAGAATGCTCAACACATATTTTAACAAATACCCACTCAAATCGATTTCCTAAAACAAGAAGACCTAAACAAGGAATAAAATACTTTCTAAAAGGGAGAAAACCCCAATTCCTTCAGAATTCCCTGTCACGAAAGGGGATTCTCGGCAATTTCAGACCTGCGTGTGAGGTACGCCCGGAATCACTGACTGCAGGAAAATGGCAACAGTGCACGTGGTCGGCTCTGAATAAAAACGACATGGTGCATTTTTACGGTCCTATCTCGAGCCGACGGCAGACGAGAATGCCGAAGACAGTTACGATGGAAGAGAAGCCCTCTCATGAATTCTTGATATCTCATAATAGTTCTTCAGATTCTCAACCACTGAAAGATATGGCATTACCTTGTGGAGCTGTTTCAAGCCGTCTTCCGTTTTGATACAGGACTGTTCAACATTATAGTCGATTCTATCAAGGACGGTACCCTGAGTAATAAATGACAGTTACAGACGATCAACAACCACAACTGGGAACACGGAACTTCAAAAATAAGAGATGCAAATCGCAGACATCATTATCCACAGAATTATCTGTCTTACTTAACTGTGATGGAAAGGTGCACACTGCCAGGTCTGGGATCCATCACCGTGCAATATGAGGCACTCAGGGGCAGGCTGCTGCACTAGTTGTAATGAAAGTCTAGCTCAGGAGGAAGAGATACTGACAAATTGAGGTTTCTTTTTTGGATTTAGCCACTGCAGGATATGCCATATTCAGACTTACTGGGGCTTTAAAAAATATACGGTTCAGTGGAAATAGGCTCTGAGTGGTGAAGGGCTTGCGTCTGTGCCCGTTTGTTGCTTAAATACTTGGATTCAAGTAAGCAGAGAGGGCCAGTTAAGCCAGGCCTGGTTACAATGAGGCCTGGAAATTGACTATCATGTCTATAAACGTCAGTCACCATGTGGCTCCATGGGTCAGAACAAACACGGTAAGCTCCAAGCCACATGTAAAATTACACATTCGCCTCAGGGAGAATTTTGTTTTTAATTGTTTAATCTCTTGGTTCAAACAGGAAGAAGGGACACTGGGCTACACAGAAGGACAGGGCTGTGAATGGAAACGTGCTGTGTTAGGAGACGACAGCAAGAGCAGTTCCGTGGGAGCCTCGGGAGTAATTAATGTAACTAGATCTCCCAGAGCCTCGCCACTCCATTCTGAGGCTGGTTTCAGGGGGATCAGGACCCAAATCCCTGCTGGCAAGATAATAAAATACCCTAATCAGATTGCAACAGCGAACAAACAATTTAATTCTACTCAAGAGCTAGTGGTTCCAGTTGCCATTACACAATAACCTGCCAAAATTAGAAGGGAAACCTTATCTATTGGCAGAATCACTGCTGAGCATGGGCAGACCAACCAGGCCCCCACCGTGGGGTGCTCCCATAAGCACCCTTGGGGTAGAGGCAGAGACTAGGAGAACTGTCACTGACATTTGTTTTTTATCTAAAAAAAAGTTTATTAGTGTTTTTATGGGGAACGATAGCAGTATATGTACATAATCCTTACACACACATATACATACATTCGGGGAGTAGGTTCAAATCGTTTTCCTGACGGAAGTGCAGAACCAGAAACGTCTGGAGAAGGACTAGATACTATGGCAGGAAAGCCCGCTGAGGAGGCAGGTAAGTTCACGTACCTGCTCTGCAATCATGGCCCCTAGGTCCCTAAATATCTCGTTTAGGTCGCAAATAGACTGCACGATGCGGCCAACCTCCCGCTCCCGCGCGTCCACCATCAGCGTGCTCTGCCCCACCAGCGCCAGCTGGTCGTCTGTGAAACCCTAGCAAAACAAAAAGGACGAAATGTGTGCGTTAGCTTTCACTCCCCTCAGGAAAGCTACAGTGTACCATTTTAGATGTAACTGAAAGGAAATAAATTCTGAAACTATTTCTGTAAAGCACATAAACCACAGATAAGCACTTATTCTTCCCTAACAGGAAAGATCCAAATTCCCCAAACAAGCGGGCTCTAAAGCACTAGCGGCCAAAGCAGGGGACACAGAGAACCCCGCGTTTGCAGCTACCCAAGGGCTAAGTAGCAAAACCACCGGGGAGAAGCCTGCGCACCTCTGGGTTCTTCCCAGGAGTGGGGTGGGCAGACTGCTTTCCGGAAGGTTCTGGAAGGCAGATGACAAGGTCTCCCTGCAGCCTTTGGAAAGGAAGAAACAGTATGGCCCCCATGACCGTTCTTCCGCCGGCTGCAAAAGCCACTTGATGGATGTGCACGTCACGCAGGGCTGATCCATTTGCATCACATGGAAGTTAAAGGTCCACGAAGAGAAGGAAAACAGACCGGAGCGCAAATGCACGGCAGTCAATTCTGCAGCCCCTCACGTACCCGATCATAAAGAGTATTATCGTCTCCATCGTCCATCAGTGGTACTGATGTATCAAAAAAATGCTGGGATCTTTCCTCTCGATTCTTCAGGCCTATCATGGATAGGAATTCACTTTACTTGAATACGTAAACCATCCTGGTTACTGTCCCACCGTTAAAAAGGGGAAATCTAGAGTAAAACTCAACAGTCAAAATGGAGACATTCTTAGCAGCTTTAAAAGAACCCTATCTCACCTCCAACAGAGGTGGGGGGGACAGTAAAGGACTACAAACATGCAACAGTGTGGAGTACTTGGGGTTATCTAAGACAAAAATCACACCGTAAATGTGTATAATTCACTGGATGCCAAGTGAATGACAAAATGACACAACCATGTGAGAATCTCTAAGAGAAGCAGAAATATTTAATCTAACTGCTGTTACAAAGCATTAAAAAAAAAAAATCAATATCTCTCCCTAAAACCATCTCTAGTAGAATTCCAAATGGCCCTAGTCAAATTTTAGAAATAGTAAAATTAAAACACAAATATGCCAGTTGTCAGGAGGAGGGAGAACTAGTTTTGGGGGAGCCTGTGGGGATACTATTGATTACAATGGCAATAAAGGAAAAACCAGTTTATAGGGTAATTAGAATGAGGGTGTAGCTGAAGCCTGACTTGGCACTATTTAGGAAGGAAGGGAGGCCGAGTAAATCACTGTGCCTGGGGAGAAAACGTTTGTTTAAACTACTCCCAGGAAAGGTGTTGAGACTCTCTCTCAAATACTTGTTGTTGTGCAAATATGAAGCTTTAACATGATTACAACTGTTTTTTACCTACTTAGCAGCAGCTCCTCCACCCCTAACATCTAGAAAGCTACAAGCTTTTAAAATGTGCCAGACTGATTTTCAAATACTTTAAACTTGACACGGCCTATGTTTCTGTTTTGTTCTTTTTTAGATGAGAACGATTTGACACCCTGTCGCCGTGGTTTCAACCTGGGCATGGTTTCCCATTGGGGGCGGAAGGGAGCTCCTTTCTGTTCCGTAAGGTGGGAATGTGCTCAAAAGCTAACAACGAAAGGCACAGGACAAAATGGAGACTAGTAGCAAAAGAGAAGGGTAAAAACACCAAGCTGTGGCAGGCTCTAACGCCGGAACCCCCGTTACTCAACGAGGCCCTGCACGGGCGGACACTCACGCTTGAGGTAGCCCGACTGCGCGCGCCGGAAGCGGGCGGACAGCTCCTGCAGAGTCTGCGCCAGGGAGCCCACCACGTTGCGAAGCAGCCGCTCTTCCTGCTCCGAGCAGGCCCTGCGGGCCTGGCTGGGCAGTGCCTGCACTGCACGCTGGCACCTGTGGAAGAGCTGGGAGAACAGGTGGCGCTCACAGCAGGCCGGCGGGTGGGGGTGGTGGTGGCCCAAGGTGCCCCTCGGCCTCTTCGCTCACCGGCCAGAGTGAGACACACAGCGCTCTGTCCAGACCGGCTGGCTCCGAGAACGGCCAAGAGATCAATGCTGAACCGGACCTGAACAAATGGGGTGTGTGTGCGCGTGCGCGTGTGCGTGCTTGCGCGCGCGCGCACGCTGTGTGCATCACTCCTTACGGCCTTCTTCTCATTTAGTCCCGACAACCACCCTAAGAGGCAGGTATTATTATTATCACTCCCATTTTACAGACGAGAACACTGGAGTCCAAGGGATTAAATGAGAATCATGCCATTGTTACATGGCTAAAAGCCGGGATCCAAACACTCCAACACCCCAGGGCTTTTCCCACCCACCCCACCGCTTCTCTGTGCATTAGCAACACAGGAGATTTAAACAGACGGAAAATGTAAGCGCGCTAGTTTACACACGAGCCACATTATTTTAGAATTATTCAAACGTAACATTTTACAAGAAACATTTCTAGGACGCTGAGTTTCTCTAGGATACTAATAGACTCAGTCTGGGGCAACAGCTCTCCATCCTTTCAGTTACAACCACCCTTTTTTTTTAACATGAAAAAATCTTGCACACTCGTATACAATAGAACTTACACATCTTAAAACCAAATGATTGAACTCAATAATGTTCTGAATTTAATTTTCAAATCAACCCACAGTGGTATCTACGAACAAATGAAAAACAGTCCCCACCCCTCCAAGGCACGGAGCAGACGCTGCCACCTGGAGCAGCTCAGGGCCTCCTAGAGTCCCTCTGTGAACCTCCGGTCGGGAAGTGGAACTCTGGGATTAATCTGCAATCTGATTTAGAGCCGGACCGCGTTCCGGATTTTGAGAGGGGGAGAAGGCTGGGAAGCGCAGGCTCCCGCCTGCGGGCCCCTTCCGTCCTCACCTGCGTGATCTCTTGGGTGGTTATTTCGATGGCATGCTCCTGCTCGAGGCTGTCATCCAGGGTGGGTCTGTTTAAGTGCTGGTCATGAAGGCTGGCTAACTCCTTCATCTTCTGTTTAATCCGGCCAACATCGTACTGTATCTAAACACATGAAATCACAGAACATCACTGCTGCCTGCCAGGTTATCTGTCTGCCTCTGAGACAACTGGCTACACTCACAGTACGGAGCTCAGTCTTCAGCCAACTTGTAGCTGCCTGAGCAACTTTTAATTCAAACGACCAGACATTCAAATAGCACTCCTGGTTTCACAGTTCTTCAGTTCATTTCTATAATTCAGGTAGTTAGTACTAAAACCAAAATCACAAGCGTGCACACACACACACACACACACACACACACCCCTTTCTTGTGGCATGTGAACAGAATAATCCTAAATCTAACATACTTCCAGGGACACTCATTGGAGTCTTTATGGCAGGTATCTTAAGATACGTTAATGTCCTAATTACCTCAATAAATAAGAGAGTGTGGAACTAACATTCAACTTACTTCATCCACTCCATCCACCCATTTAGGAGGTAACCGCTTTGTCACGCCAACTGCTGCCTCTGGGTCTAAGCTAATGCCCGACACCAGAGCCATGCGATCATCAGCGAGCTACAGGGAAATAAAGGGACATTAAAAAAATTATTCAAATTCAATTTAGATAAGCACAGTCTTACTCCCTTTTACTGCTGCTCCCTAAGAAGATTCAGAAACGGAGGAATAAATGCACTTCCCTGTGTTACAAACTTGCTTCTGATACTGCTAGGGTATGGAATGGTTTTCCTGTCTCTTCATGCACCACTTCTTAATTTCCTTGGGCATACTTGTGGACATGCATTTGACTTGCTCTGGCTATGGAAATGTAATGAAAAAGTCAACAAAAGATCCTTACAAGAAAAACCTTAGTACTATCCTATGATGGGATGGCATGAACCTCAGCAATTAATTTGATCAGACAGATGCAAGTTAAAAAAAAAATTCTAGGCTGTAAATGGAACTAACACAAAAAGGTCACGGTTTACTTACATACACTTAGCTTATTTTGTGAATAGGGCTGATCTAGTTATCTCAGTCACAAGATCATTAACCATGTGTTAAACTGTGTGAAAGAACTGCCTAAAACAGTCAGCAAATTATCCACCATTTGGCAAAAGCAATCCTTAAAATTTCAAGGCACTCTTACACTGTCCTTTCCTTTCTTTGGTTAAATGTCCACGGGCAACATTTTCACTTATTTTGAAATGATCTCAATAGTTCTTGTTTACTTTACCTATGTAATACACGGCCGGAGGAAGCTTTTAAGAATGGGAGGGGAATCGTGGGTTCGGCATGCTGAAGCTGCCCTCTGGCCTGGAGGCAGTGAATGCTGAAAGGGTCCCGAGGTACCCTCTGGAGCCCAGCACTGACAAATGCCAGTTTCAGAAGATGCAAATGATGATCAAAATAGAATGGAAAACAGCACATGAAAGTCCTTCCTTTACAGGTAATACTTTGTAAATTTTCTAAATCACACTGCAGAATTGGGTGAAGAATTTATATTGCTTTTCTCCCCACCTCTGCATTTATCTAGATTTATTGTTTTTCATTCATTTGGCAAATACCTGTGTGCTTTTCTAACAATAAAGGAACAAGGCAAAATGTTTAACATCCTCAGACGAAGGGGGAAGATAAATCACATAAGGAAAAGCCTAAATTAAAAGAACTCTTCAAGTAATAAGCCCTAAATCCCGAGCAGAGAGATTGTAGCAAAATCCCTAAAAGCAAATGAGAGTCCTGCGTCTGCCAGCCGTCATGCCTGGGGTGGCGCTGCCCCCACTGGCTCAGGGGACCAGCAGCCCCAGAAGTGCTCCCAGAGTGTCTGAGTCGTGATCAGGGCCAGCGCATTCCGCCGCCGCGTGGACCCTGCAGGGCCGGTGTCATTTCAGGTCTTAAACAAATGGTGCGTCATCCCACCTGCACTATCTGGGCTTCTGCGTCTGTGACATGGTAATTCTCAACCAGAGCCACCTTGTCTGTTTTTAAGAGTTCACTAACAGGAATTTTACATTCTCTTTATTATTTTAATCCTCACAAAAGCTAGGTGAGCTAGGAACTATTATTCCAATCTATAAATGAGGAAATTGAAACTCAGGAAAGTTAACTAGCTTGCCCAAGGTCACAGCGTATTATGTGACAGATTAAAACCTGGATCGGCTACTCCAGGAGCACCGTCCACCCGGATTGGCAGGCGCGTGAAATATAACTGTAACTTGCTAAACGCACCAGGACAACAAGCCCTCAGACTTAAAGGATAACACCAGACACGGTCCTCGGATCCATTCCCTACCAACTACACCAGGGACTACAGGACAGGCTCTGGCTGAGCACAGAGGCATCCACAGAGCAGCCTCTCTCGAGGACCAGCTGCAGATGCAGCCCCAAGGTGCAGACCTCACTCCACACAGAGTTGTGTATTCCTCAGAAGTCCTGCCCCAAAGTCACCAAGAGCTATGCAACTTTGTGGAGGGCACGATGACCAAAACGGAAGGGACAAATCACACATCAGCACCCAGCGTCTGCCAGCTATACAGCAGGCACTGTAGAGTTGCCCGAGAGCAGAACTTGATCTTAAATCTCCAGCTGTTCATACAAAGCAACACCTACGGGTCATAGTTTCTACTACGCCAGTTTATCATCTAACCCACTACATTTTACTATGACACCGTATCTCAATAAAGTAATAATAGGAATTTGTTTTATTTAGAGCTTTTAAACTCACGATTTTGAACTGCTGTTACGGTTTACTAATATCCATTAAACTAAAAAGGATACAGAGATGGTATTCACCTAAATTTATCTGCACGATCATTAGTATCAACTTCTCTGAAACAAATAAGAAATTATAAATCACATATGAAAAGTCAGTTGAAGTGGATTCAACTCTTTTTTAAGCAGTACTTGATTTTACACCATAGATGTGTTCCCCCAAAAAACGCATGTAAAAGAGTGTGCAAACACACCCTCTTCAAGTGTCCTAAGGAAGCTTGCTCATCGAGAGATCCCCACGTGAGGGGGACAGATGCTAGCCCATCTAGCTGGCCCTAGCTTTCCCACATGCTGTATCAGGATGTTGCCAATAAGACAGAAGAGCTGATTCTTTGAGACTGAGAGCTTTAAACAGGGAAGAATTGGTCCCCTTTACGGTATAATCTGCAGCAATAGCTCATCATGATGAAGAAACGCAGCCGGACTCAGAAGAAACGTGGCATTTATTTTATCAGTATGGATTTGTAATACATTTCACAGTATGTACTATTTTTCTTTTAAGACTGTTTTGGGAAGGGAAAACCTAATTGAAGATAAGTGTCACTTAAAAATGGGAACAAATATGAACATTAAAAAATACATCTTAAATGCAAAACAATCACCCTTTCAACTTCAGAAACCTCACTGCCAATCTCAACACGTTTTCTCATTTTTAAGATCCAGAATATATCAGTTTTCAAGTTGCCATCCAAGCCTGTTCAGACCTTAAAAAGCTGCCAGATTTTTCATTCTCTTTACTTGTCCCTACTCCACTCGGTGTCCCCCTCCCAGATAGATGGTGTTGGTCATTAAAGCTTTTCTTAATGAACTTGTGCTTCTGAAGCAAAAAAAAAAATCTTCCTTACTTTTTAAATAAGAAAAATTTTTTTTAATAAAATTGTGTTTATGAGGATTAAGAATTCTTGTCTCTTTGATTTGTAACCCTTGTCCTCCAAGAACTATAGTGCACGACCACAACCCAGAGTCATCCAGCTCAACTGCATCAAGGCAGGAAAATTGCAACGGATGCTCACAATGGCGCACCCAAAGGCTTCTTGTTCAGCTCATCAAAATTATCTTCTGTTCCTGGTCCACTTTAGACACTGACAACTGTCCCTTTAAAGAGTACCAGACAGCATGCACGAGTGCTTGATCTATGGACGGAACACACACACACACACACACACACACACACACACACACACACGAGCACAGTCTTGTAAATCCTGCTGTCCCAAACATACAGCCTTCCTCCTCTTAGTGAACCCTGCCTTTACGAGAAGGCTGATTTGGTGTACCGTAAGATTAAGGAAATGGCAGGGCCCCTGCAGGGACTAGGAAAGTCAAACACAGCCCCTCCCACCCCCCCGCCACACACCCATGTAAAAAAAACACACCAAGTTCAGCCATAATGCCCTGGTAATAAGAACCAGTACTGACCATTCTGGACTTTTTAAATGTTCTGTGGCAACGAACATTTAAAAAAAGTCCAGAAGGGACGTTGACAATGACAGCCTGGCAGCTCCGGTTTCCACCTGAGACAGTGTGGGAGTGTGTATGATTGCGGTCAGAGCACAAGCATAACTCACTGGGCTCGGAAGGCTAATTGAGACAATTAGGCTGAAGAAATCTCAGTTCTTTGAGGGAGTGAATAAGCCTGTTGTAGAAAAGAGAATCAGGGACTGTCAGCCCTACAGTTTTGTTTTTTCTTTAATCTGTGATAGTTCTAAAAGTGTTTACTTTTTCTGATTATGAAACAATAAATGTTCAAAATTGACACTTCTTTAAATGTGCAAAAAATATAGGAAATTTAAAAATCTGACAATCACACCACCCAGATACAATGTTACTAGTTTCATTGAGTTTCCTTTTTTTCTCAACTCTCATATACGTCCTAAAAAAAAAAAAAAAGTAGGGAGCAACAATTAACCTGCGCTCTGTTGGTGCTGGACCCCCACTGACTTGGTCATTTTAGTCCCAACAACAAAAGTCCAGAGGGCACTGCTCCCTGTTCTACAAATACAGACACCGAGGGGCTCACAGACTTTCCTTCTCAATGCTGCCCTCAGCAGGGGGACCAGTGAGCCAGCCTGTGGCCCCCACGTCCCTGCTACTTCACCCTGCCCTTCCCAGGCTATATGGTTTGGGAGCCTGATTTTACATCTTGTAATTTTTTAATAGTTCCTCCTATGAATTTTAAAACCCAACAACTTGGGAGATGACTTTGTCCTAGGCAGGGAGTAGATGAGAGCAGAGAGCAGAGGACAGGGCCATACGCTGGGCAAAAGGGTGAACGGTGGGTGGGTTTTCTCCCTGGGCACACCTTACTTAGTATTCCTGAAGAAGAACACAGCCTGCTATCCCCACGGTGCAGCAGATCTTCGAACTGGTTTGAGTAGGAGAAACGACAAACCAATGTGAACACACTGCAGGAGGCCACCCCGTGACACAGTCAGGACAGTGTGCTCAGGCCTCACCTACCCAGGGGTGGGCTTCCATCTGACCCACGCCAGGATCGATTCGAAACCCTACCGCAGCCTTGGCAAGGTGAGGCTCTGGACACCGTTCCTAACACAGCCCCAGCTCCTCGGTCAGCGCCTGGCACTTCGTGGTAATAAATACGCAATTATAATTAGCTGCGTGAGTCAACAATAAATGGAATGAATGAATGAAGTAAATAAAAGACAGGTCATATACAATTCACTTCACTGATACAATGGTTCTGGACAAAGGACAAGAAGGGGAAGTGAGTGGCTCGGGTGGCCGAAGGGCCACGTGGCCCCGGAATGGAAAGGCTTGGAGCTCGGAGGGCCTCTTGGCACGTGAGGTGCGTGTGGCTGGGAAGGGGCTCTCCACTCGGGGTCTCTGCTAGAGATCGTGGCAGAGAGAATTTCTGCGGGGGGAGCCAGTGTCTGGAACTTGCTGCCTGAAGAGGAAGTAGGAGAGACTGGAAATAGGTTCAGACGGCGGAGCCCTCAGGAAAGACGACCCTTGACAGCCCCGGTGGGAGAAGTGTTCAAACTTAAGCTGTTCTGCTGTTTGTTTTTTCCCCACAGCCCACTTCCTTTTTGGGGCCACAAGTCCCACATTTCCAAACCGTTCAGTAAGCGGTAGCATCCATTCTTAGATGGATGGGTTTGGTTTTAAATACTAATTGTTTTTTAATGACTCAAGTAATAGATACACATGGTTTAAAAATATATATCCAACCTACGGAAAGGGTTTGCAACAGAAAGGCAGTTTCCCTTCCATCCCAGACTTTTTTCCTGGAAGGTATCCACTGTTAATAGTTTCTTCTGTCTCTTTGCAGAAATCTAAGTACACACAAGCCTGAATGTTAGTTATTTTTCTTAAAAAAATAAAATAATTTTTTTTTTTTTTTAAGAGTAGGAATCGCGGTGTCCAGTGTTTCGCATCAGGCTTCTCCCCCACTTGGCCATGTGTCTGGGAGCTCATTCCCTGCAGCCCTCAGAGACAGGCTGCACTCTTTTTAACAGGTACAGTACAGGGAATTAGAGTTGCTATATAATTTATTTAACCAGTTCTCCACGAAGGACCTTTAGGTTGTTTCCCATCTGTTGTTATTATCAACTAGTAAGGGACCCCATTGGTTTTGAAGACAGTGGCCCTAACCCCACCTCACCGTTCATACTTCTAAAATTAAAACAAAAACCAATGACACCCTCCCACCCCCAATTTTAAAAGGACTCTTTTAAAAAGGTCTACCTTTAGGAAAAATATTTTCAACCCCTTCATGGCTGAAAAGATAACAGAAACACAAAACCAACAATCACAGTTCAATCCCCTTTTTCCTCAACGCTTTTATTCACACGACTAGAATAACGTGCTGTGAACACATACCCTCTCCATCTTCCGGGAGAATTGCTAATAAGTGATGAAAAGGCCAAAATCGTGCTGCTAGGAAGGGGGGGGGGCACGTAACGATTAGTCAGTCAGCACAACCGGAGGGCCACTCGCTCGGGGCCAGTGACACCTCAGCAGACATCTCAACAGGTCTGGCGGCTCCGGGTCCTGCTTCCTTAGGGCTTTTGCCAGACATCACGTCCTTCTACACCTCTGAGCAACCTCACTGCACAGTCTCAGGAATCAAGGGAGTTGCACGCATAATCCTAAAAACAGTCTGGCTTATTTTAAGTGCAAGAAATTTTACTGCTTCCAAAGTTGAGACACTTTCCCGACAGTAGTAAATAATGTTCCTAAGCCCTTCCCTAGATCATCAATTCACCTGGCGTGAAAATACATTAAATAAATCCTAAGTATTAAACTGTAAAACACAACAATTAGAAGTAATCAAAACAAATGCTAAAATATGTGTACACTCTTAGCATTTTACATATGACCAAAGATTTCAGAAAAACAGGCATAAATTTATAAACTAACATACAAAAATAGTCAAAACACAATACCTCATCCAGCTCCTGAGAGATATGTTGTTCCCATCAGCCCATCCAGTTAGGGATAGCAAAAAAAAAAGAGGGATGGGGACAGACAGACAGATAAGGGATGGTCAGTTGAGAAAACACTGAGATTTTACGCAACTGTAAAGTTGACTAAAAATAAAGATCCACTAACCAAAGCATTTAAAAAAATCTCCCCCTTCTGATTCTTCCTTTTTTAAAAAAAAAAAAAAAAGCTACGTCAATATTTATCTTATTATGTTTTTTATTTTTATTTACCATAATTGTTGTTTTGGTAAATGAGATAGGATACAAACAATAAATAGTTGTAAAAATTAAAATACAATAGAAACAAATAAAACACACTTGCTTTAGTTTCAATAAAATATAATGGTATTGTTTCATAAATATCAAATATCATACACAAGATTCTAAATTTCCCTGAGGAAGATAAAATCAAGAGAGCAAAGCTGAAATGTAATTTTACCATGTCAAATAAATGTAAATTTTAACTTGTAAATCAGCCCTGCAAATGCAGCAAAATTAGAAAATGAAAAACCCCCAAAATTGTCTATGGCCGAATTCAGATAATATTTGAGTGACCACATATGTAAAGGCTCTACAGATTAAATCCCGAAGACACGGCTTTCTCCGTGGTAATAAGCAAGCCGAGAAACCACTCTTCCCCGGAGAGAGACACAGGTGGTAAAAGAAAAGAAAAACTCTTCCCATTTGCTTCGCATGCATTATTATTAGTCTAGAAGGCACACAGTTATTTATTAGGCTATTATAAAGGAAAGTAAAACAAAACAAAAGGTAAGGAGAGGGTTTTTTTTGTTGTTGTTGTTTTGTTTTTTAAAGGAGGAGTAGAAAGGAAGCAGCACAGGCAGGCAGAAGATTAAGTTTCAATTTAAAACCAAAGGTTCTTTTTTCGATCAAAGTGGAACTCTATCTTCTGAACAGACATTTCCTAATGACAGATAATCTGAACAACTAAGTCTTTTTTTTTTTTTTTTACAGTATTGATCACTGAAATAATTAGTGGTGAATTTCAATAATCAACTGTTGATTTTTTTTTATGCTGAGCAGTCAATTTAGAAAATAAAAAACCATAACTTCTTTCTTTAAAAATTAATAGTGCAAATGAAACTGGTCTATCAGGGCCAAAATATTATTAAACAATGACAGCAATAACAGTGTAACCACAACATTCCTCCATGTAAAAATTCAATCAGCTGACATTATAGAAAGCTGAAAGTGCTCTTCATTCCTTCTACACTTTGCCATGAGAGCAAGAGAACTATATTTCTATACACACCCTGCCATAACAGTAGTACTACAAGATATTAATAGAGAAGATAGTGTCAAATGGAAATCTGATTTAATTACCTTTTATTTTAAGAAGAAAATCTCTTTATTTTTTAAAAGCTTAACATTTTCAGCAAGAAAGCATGGAAGTGATTTTATTAATAAAACAACACACAAAGCAAAACCCCTAATTCAGTATCTCAGTCTGCACATCTGCCTGTTCTGCAGGGGCTCCTTGGCATCCAATCTTTGGATAAAGCATTACTGCAAACCCTGGTTAAGATCTCTGCTGCACATGAGCCTGGCCTCTTGGATTATCAACCAAGCACACACCCTGATCTTTTGGTTTCTACAATTATTAGTTGACAAGAGGTGAAATCAGAATCATGGGCTAGATACGACTCTTTTTTTTTTTTTTTTAACAAATAGGAAAATCAAGCTTCAGAATATATAAATCCATTTCCCCAAAGTCACAGGGCTGAGATGGGGACAGACCCAGGTGTTCAGGCCTCTTTCCACCCCACCTTCCAGTTTTCCTAATTTTATTACCAATTCAGGGAGTTACTAGTGATGGGCAGCTACTACCATACCACATTGGGAATTAAATTCAGGAGGTCATCTTTTTGAAGAGCATTATCCCCTCCCGTTTTGCTACTTAAAAGCAGAAGGCCTTTCAAAACTCCCCCTGCCACCAATTTACCAGAAAATGTTGTCAAGACCTGAATTAAAACATTCAGAATTACCATCAGGAAAAACCAAAATACAGCCAAATGAAAACACGGTACTGCACACCATCACCTTCTAAATCTTTATAACGTCTACATCTAGGTTTTTGACCTGCCAATGGCATACAATCGAGCAAATACTGAAAACTCCAAGTAGCATGTGGAATTTATTGTCTAAAGAACTTTCTACATAAAACTGAAAAATAAGTGGAAACCCATCTGTGTTTACTCAGGAAGTCTGGGAAAGTTGAGCAAAATGAGTTGGAAATACAGGTCTATGCTATAGTGATACTTACTTTATTTCTGTTACTACCAAAGTAAAAGTTTGCTTCACTTTTATCCAACAAAGTACCCTTATTCTCAAGTACGCCTCTCTGCTCAAATGGAATCTTTAGAAGCAGAAAAGCAAATAGATCTAAAGAGAAATATACAATGATTTCATACTTGGATTCTAAAGACAGAGAACTAACTTTCCAACAGACTCAGCATGGACTAAAACATAGAACTTTCAATATGCAAGTCAAAATGGACTTGCATGGTTGTAAAATGAGATAAAGATGCAATCCCACCGTAAGAAAAAAAAAAGATTTTTTTTAATGGGTTCTTCCATTCTCCGGGACCTGCAGCACAAGTCGGGGAAAAGCAGCCAGCACTCCTGTGGCCCAGCAGGTAATACAGGGCTCCCGGCCAGGTCTGCCTGAGTTCCCATTCCAGTTCCCTGGCTCACTAGGTGGGCAATACTGAGCAAGTTTCCTAACTCCTCTAAGCCTTAGTTTCCAGATCTGTATCATGAGAAAACAACACCACCTATTTGATGGAGCTCTGTGAGGATGAAGTAGGGTTACACCTGGAGAGGGCTAAGCCCAGTGCCAGGCACATAGTAAGCTCTCAATAAATCTTGGCTAATATTATAGTCAAGACTGAAGAAGGACCTCAGTTTTCTTAAAACCACAGTTAATCCTCAGTTGTTTTTTTTCCCCCAAAGCACACCATGTTTTATTAAAAATAATGTGCTGCTTTCAAACTAATCTAAGACCAATTAACTCTAGCTTCCATGTATAGATTGTGCATTATTCTGAAACCGAGGGTACATTAAGCAGTAAACACTAACAAAGTAGCTCAAATCCCTCTATAAGACCTGTTTCAGGAGATCAAAGGAAATCACCCAAGTCACACATCCCCTCATCGGATCAGAACAGCAACTCAACATCTACTTATCATTCATTCAAGACTTTACACGTTTTTTTGAATGATTATTTAATGCTGTAAATTCATTCCAGCTCCTTAAAGCTAAGCTGCCTGTAACTACCTGAATGAGGTGCTGCCTTAAAACCTGCACTTGGCAGACAGAATGTTAAAGCTTCTCCACAGTATTGGAGCTACTTTTGAGGACTTTAGCATCGGTCTGATGAGCGGGGCAATGCTGTTGACTGTGATTTCCTCCTTTTCAAGTTAAAGCTAAGGATGCAAGCCTTGGTCAGGAGAAACAATGTATTAAAACAGAATCTAAGAAAGCACTGCTGAATCCACAGGGCCACGAGAAATCACCTAACTCAAACCCTCCGTTTATAATTAAGGCAAAAGATGTCAGAAGAGATTAAAAGCTTGCAGGAAGACCTGCATTCTGCGTCAGCTACAGAGTGAAACTTAGCCCTAAATTCCCAGGTTTAAACTCCAGGGTTCTTCCCTTTATTTCACGCTGCCCTGAGGCAGAACCGTGATGGGGCATCCAAAACTGAGGCCAAAACAGAATGAATGGGAAACGCCAACGGCTGCATTTTTGCTGACAGTCTAAAAATTAAACCCCTGGTCTATTTTTAACAATTAGTTTTACTAATATCAACACAACCGAGAATACAATTAAGTAGAATTTTGTTCAGTTCTGGGTGCTGAACTTTAAAAAGCACACAGAAAAACTAGACTTCATTCATAGGCAAGAAAACTTAACCTCTCTGCCTGAGCCGGGACTGCTGAGCTAGAGAAAGCTCCGGGGCACCAGCAAGCTGCAGGGTTATCTCTCCTGCAGGAGAAGGAAGAGGCTTCCTGTGTCAGAGACCCGGGGGCCAGAAGCAGAGCTGGGATCACAGGATGCAAGACACAGACAGAGATGGGCTTAATAGAGGCAAGGACTTTTTTCGCAGTGAAAGAGGTAGAGGTGACGGCTGCTGGAATTTCCTATCCCCATCACATAATGCGGTCAAGGAAGGCAGGCAGAGGGGTTATCACAGAGGGGATGTTGGGTCAAACGACCTTTAGGTCCCTTCTGGCCCTTGGGACGTTTTGTTTGTTTTGTCACCGCACATCCTCCTTAAATTCCTGCTTAGCTGTGACATATCTGCCTGAATGCGGCACAAACCTGTTTTATATGCGTATATAGGTACACACAGTAACCCCACCACCACCAACCACCAACTTCTACTTTTTTCCTCCAACTAGGATGCAAAAAAATGCCTGTTTAAATTCTTTGAATGATATGGCTTTAAGTGCCCTTTGTTTTGAGGTGTGTAATACACACACGCACACACAAACACCACTTTACAATCAATTTCCACAGCTTTCACCTAAAATAAGGATGTGCAAATTCAGATTTAAAACTAAAAAAAAAATTATTTCAGATGTGATTTATTTCTAATTGTGAGATAATTTGCACACCCCAAAATCAAGGTCTACAGCTTTTTCTTCTAACTAGGAAGTAGAAATTTCAGTTTATGATTTTTTAAGTTACACTCTAGAATTTAGTTACTTCCTTTTTTAATTACCTGAGTTTTAGATAAATATATACAAACTGCCTTTTAATTGTTTTACTTGTGTTTTTAACATGCCAGGTATTTGTTAAGTTTTTATTTATGATTTTTCAAACATGCAGAAAACTATGTAAAATGGCACAGCCTCCCCCCACATATTCATCACTAGACTTAACAATTTGCTATACTCTGCCTTATTTGTTTCCTTTATGGGGGGGGGGTGTTAAGTATATAAACTAGGTGATGTTTTGACATTTCAATACGAAACATTTCAGGAGACCCCTCTAATAAAGCTAACAAATTTATTTAATTAACTAATAATTTCTTAATACCACCTAAAACCCAGTCCATATTCAAATTTTATAGCATTAATTTTGTTTGATTTGCTACATGATTTTGAAATTTACAACTCAGAAATGAGGTTTAAAATTTTTTATGAGCTAGATATGCAGTGAAAAGTATCAGATCAGTTATTTAATAAAGTTTTAAAAATTGTGTTAGACGTAGTTTTCCCCAAAATGTTTATAACATTTTCCCAACTTCCAGAAAAACTGAAAATATTGTACCCTCTATGTAGTCATGCTAACATCTTGACATACTTAATTTTGTGTGTCCGTGTGTGTGTGTATAAATGGTTTCTGTAGAATCAACTGTAAGCAAGCTGAAAATATAATTCACCCCTAAACACTTCGGAAATTTATGACATGCCATGTTTTTTAATGCACACAATTAAAATATATAAACGTGTGACTTCTATTTAATTCTAACTTAGGCAAACCATCTTTGTTTAACTGCAAAAATCTGTATTTTAGATAGTCTTAATTGACTACAAGGATCTTTTAAATGATCTAATTGCTCATAGTGATCTGAGAAAGATTTTAAATAGTCAAACCAATATATGTAACATTTTAAATGGTATAATATGTAAAAAATACTTCTTACTGCTCTGACTTAGGCATGTATTTTTAGTCTGACTTAGAAATCTATTTTCAAGAAAATGTCTGAGTTAGCTAAATATACCTGTACATTTTCTGACATATCTATTTTTCCAAATTGTACAGTTTAGCTATATATTTTAAAATATCTGACTTAGTTTATATATATATTTAAAATTACCTAACTTTGAAAAGCATTTTAAAAATAGATTTGACTTAGAGATGCACTTTTAAAAAGCTGCCTATCTCAGACACCAGGTTTTTAAACCGTCTGACCAAATGATTAAAAAAAAAAAGTCTCATGTTATCCTATGGTTCAGTGTATTCTGAACCTTACATGATTAAAAATTTTAAAGCAAACATTATGCTTTAAAATCAGTTAAAGACTGATACCTTAGAAAACATAACGGGAGTTTTAGTTCTGTTTTTTTTCTCCCCACGAGGTAGCATAAAATCAAGTCATTTAAGGAACATGCAATTTTTACATCTTATTTAGCAAAACTAAAGTTTCATGGAGGATTTTTTTTTTTTTCCACTCACTTCTACTCTCTATTTCTTGGCTTATTTCAGAACATTCTTTTTAAAACTAGCGCTGGAATTAGCCCGTTCCCATTTTGCACTTACTTCAGTATAATACGACTTCTTTCAGTTTACAAACGTAAAAAACCTTCAAATTCTTAAGTAAATGAAAAACTAAACACACTCTGTCCCTCCGTTTTCTATGCTTTTTGACCTAAGTTTACCGTGATTTTATTCCTAAAACTGCTCACACAGTTTACAATATCTTTTCTATATAAGCAAGCTGACCAAATACATTTTCCTCTTGTGATTTACAAAAAGGAAGAACTGTCTTTGTAGACCCTCTGTCAATAATCAAGACAGATGGCCTGATTTTTGTGACGCATTTAGATCAAGTCATAAAGAAAAAATGTAAAGGGAATACAGTCCCTAACAGGTGAAATAAATGTGAGATTCCCCAAACTGTATATGTCAAGTATAACCCCCAAGAACCTGGTCTTGGGGTGACTTTATTCTCTCCTCCTCCAATGCTGCTTCTATTCAAACCCAGCCCGTCTACAGCAAGGACCCCCCACCACCACCACCACAAACTAGTTTCATAACTTCACTTTTCCATTTAGGCTACCACAGAGCTCATCTCCCTCCTCCTGTTTAGATCATGCACACACACCCCCTTATTCAACAGAGCAGGAAACTGAGGCTCAGGAAGAGAAAGGAGCCCCTTAAACAAACGGAAAAGCAACAGCAATCTTTCCAGGCCCTCCCAGTAAAAGATTCTACTGCTGGGCTAAAGAAAGTTTCAGGTTAATTAAATCAAAAACCGTGGGCTATTTGGGGGGGTTGATTTTCACATACACACCATGCTCTTTTTAAAAAGTTCGAATGGAGGGAAAAGCTTAATTTCCTGTCTGGGAAATGGAAAACGAAGAAGCTAGCACCTTACAGCCTCACAAACGAGAGCCCCCAGGAAAAACAGCGAAGCAATTATTCACAGGGAACACGAAACACAGAGGGCTGCGAGGCCATTAAAAGAAAACGGACGAAAAAAAAAACCAAAACAACAACTCCTTCCTCTTTGGGGGCAGGGCATCGTGCATTTGCAAGGATTTGGGTCTGCGAGCCTGCAACCCGACCAGCAGAACCGAAGTAAGGCTCAGTCTGCGGGGGCGGAGTGGGGGAGGGGAGCTTAAAACAAAACGGAACGAAAAGGCTTCAGAAAGGCCCAAAGCTTCCAAACCTTAGTGCTAAAACATATGTAAATTGGAGGCTGCGGGTCGCGCAGGGACGGCCGGGGGGGGGGGGGGGGGGGGGGGGGGGGCTGGGAGGGATGCGGAAGTGAGGAGAGAGTGCAAGGCAGAGGTGGAGCAGGGGCCTAGCACTGGTTCTTCCCCAGCCAGGGTGATCGATGCTCTCGGACCCCAGCCAAGAGACCTTGCATTTCCGTACTAGTCTTATCTTCTTTTTTAAACAGAGAGACAGACAGAGACAGACAAACAGGCAGAGCCGCAGTGCACACGGTGCGTGTGTCGGAGAGGCCGCCGGGAGACTCACCGCAGCGATACTACGTGAATGCAGAGGCTGCAGGTGGTATGACTACTCACTTGCTCGGCTAACAGCTGCCGGTTTTGGATGGAATTATTCCGCAACAACAAGAAAGCGTCCGTTAAACGCCTGGTGGCCATGTCTCACCCTTTGTGACCCCCGCTCAGGGGCCCCCCGCCCACTTCGATTCCAGATTTATTCACTTTCTTTCTCTTGGCCCGGCCTAGTCTTGCCCACCCTTCACAGGAGCTTCTCTTGACAAGGCCTCAGGCCTTCAGCTGAGCAGCCGCTGCTTTGCGCTTCGTCTCAGCACAAAGACCCCTCCCCAAATAACCACCTAGGCTTTCCGATTGTCTGACTCCCCCTACCCAAGACCTGCCTTCGATCTCTAAGCACTTAAATCCCCCCAATCCTTGCGTTGCTAGCCAACTTCCCAGAGACCCCTCCCCAATCCAACCTTGGATCTACAAGCGTCTAACTCGCCAATCCGGCTCTGGACTGGGAGGCCCTGAAGCCCCCTACCACATTAGTCTCTGACACCCCCTAGGGCCTTATCCGGCTCTGCCTAACTTGGCACACAGGCGTCTGGGCCGGGCCCTCAGGCCTGTCTCCAGCTCAGTTTCCCCACCAGAGGCCTGGGAGGCCTGCTTGAGGTCCCCTTTGGACAACCCGAGCCAGGCCTGGGCCCTGAACTCCTGCTGCTGCCTTCTGGGGCCTGGTGTGAGCCTGCTAAGGCCGAGGCCCGACCTCCTGACCCCTTCCCTTTGTGGGCGGCCTGGTCCTTCACTGCCACAGCAGGCTGCCGGCCTGCAGGAGGGCATCAGGGCCTGCCTCCCCGGCCTCCTCACTCCTCTTCTCCGGCTCCCTCTATCCCGGGATCTGACTGCTGCTCAGCCCCGGGCCGTTTCCGTGCTACGGTCCCGGGTTCTGGCGTCCCCCCTGGCCCTCTTCCTGTCCGTCTCTCGCGAGTGCCCCCCTGCGACGTTCATAAGCCTTGCTCGCAACGTTCCGGGCGCGGGAGATCCCTACCCCCCCCCCACCCCCCGGCTGCCCCGGGGCAAGGGAGCGCTCCGCCCTCTCCCGGGGTGCTCCCGCGACGCTAGGTTTCCCCTTCCCAACTGGGCCCAGGCACCGGGAGCGGGCCGCCGGGCGGGCCTGAGCCTCGAGAGCGTGGCCCCCACGTTGCAAACAACCGCCAGGGGCCTTGGCGCGCTTATTAGAGTGGAGTCGAGCGGCAGGCAAATTTGGGCTCCTGCAGAGCCGTAGTTTGAGGCGCGCGGAGTTGGGGCGGGAGAGGAAAAGTTGGAGACGACTGCCTCTGGAGGCCGAGCACGCTCCACTGCAGGCGGAGGCTCACGCTCGCTTTTTTTCTTTTTCTTTCTTTTTTTTTTTTTCAAATTCTGAAAAAAAAAAAAAAATGTATCAGAAAAACAACCAGGAGGGGGAAAAAAAAAAAAAAAAAAAAAGCAAAATCTGCAGCTAGAGCTCCAGGCCGCCTGGGCCGCGCCGCCGCTTGCGGTCGGGGGTCGTGGGGGGTGCCCGCCCTCCCCGGCTGCCGATTTCTGTAGGGGGCACTGCAGGGTTGTAGAATCTCAAGTGGAAAAGTTCCCCGAAACTTTGACAGCCCCCCCCCCGCCCCCAGCAACTTTTCCCTGCCTAGTGGGCCCGCGCGCCGGCGTGCCAAGCCTGGCCCCGCGACCCCCGCCCGCTTTCCGGCGCTGGAGTCGGGTCGGGGAGCCCCTCACGACCGCCGCTGGAGGTTGGGGACCCGGGTGGCCGGGATTCGGGCAGGGGCTCCGCCGGGGAGCGTTGGGATCGAGCCGCCCGAGCCCGAGCGCGCGAGCAGGGACTAGGCGGTCGCCCCGAGAGGTGTCCAGCCCGGGGCCACACCACGGGCCGCACGAGGCCACCCCACCGGCGGCACGAGGTCACCCCCTGGGCGACCCGAGGCCGAAGCCCGAGCCAGAAACGGCCTGGGCCGGGCGCGCGGGCCCGAGGGGGTCGGGGTCGCGGAGCCAGGCGGCCGCGCCTCCCCCGGGCCCGGGCCCGGGGCTGTGCGGGCTTCCCCTCCCCGGGCGAGCCGGGGCCACCGTGCCACGCTCGCGACTGAGGTCTTAACAAAGGAAAATCGCCCCGGCACTCGGGAACGGCCCCCATCCCCGCAACTGGTCCTGCATTAAACAAACTTTACACACATGTGTGTATTTTCCGAGCGTTTCCCGCGTGCTAAGCTCCGGGTTTGCAAAAAAGAAGGAAAGCAAAACGGGAAACACAAAGCCGGTGTCGGCGCTCACAAAGGGCGGTCGCCCGGGCGGCGCGGAGACCCGCGCGCGGCTCTCAGCTGCACCCGCGGGGCGCCCGGCGGAATCCCGCCGGGGATCCGCCGGGCAGCTGGCGACCCGCTAGATAGAAATATATCATTTTTCTTTCCTAAAGGAGAATGTTTCTGTGCATCGGTTGTGTAACTAAAAATTGTTGTGAAACATATCTTTGGGAGGGATATATCAAAATGCATAAAAGAAAAAGAACCGGGAGAGCCAGCGAGCAGGGCTGGCGCGTTCGTTTCGAGGAAGGGGCTGTGGTTTTCGGAGCCGGGCGGCGGGAGAGGGAGATGCGCGGGGAAGCGGCGCTCGTTCGCGGGCTTTCGCGGGCGGTGGACGATGCTCGGGCGAGACAAAACCTCGCAACCGTCTCGCCGCCGCGTGTCTCCGCGGACAGCGAGCTGCCTGCCTCTCCGAGCGGGAGGCTGCGGCGGGAGAAAGCCGCTGCTCCAAAGGCAGGGACCCCGGTTATCTCGTGGAGGGAAATTCGGGGAACCTGTGTGCGGACCCCCGGCAAGCTCAGCACCCCGGGAGATATGTGCCTGTTTGCCGAAAGAGGGAGAGAACTGTCCCCACACCGCGTGCGATCCCCGCAGTGAGACCTGACCCAGGGCGCACGGCTAAGCCCCCTGCTCCCCGCTTCGGGGGACAGATATTGTAAATAACAACCGAGCCGGTGTTCGGCAAGACATCAGATTAGAAACGTGGTCCGCACCCTGTTCCTTTCTTTTGAGCACTCATCACCTTGCAAAGCGGGGACATGTTTATCTCTGGCTTTCTCCCCCAGGCTAGAACGTGATCTTCCTGTGCAGGCACCGTGTTTTATTCATCTTTGTACCCTCTGCCATTTCATCTATTTGGGACTAGGCTCCAGATAAATGTTTTGTTTTGATGTGCATGAATGAATTAGAGACCCGCGATACCCTCCACAAATTCTCTGACCTCCCTCAAGTGACTTTAAGCCTTTAGAGCCCTTATCGGTTAGGAAGGGGAAAATGTGGGGTTTTAATAATCCATATAATCCGTGCCCTGTCTACCTCTCGGGGCTATTGTGAAGATCCAATGAGATAAGTGAAAACCTTTGTCAGCTATCAGATGCTGAGCGAATATTATATAGGATGGTTATTCATTCATTCCCTTCACTGGGAAAGCGTAACAAAGTAATTCCTGGGCTTGTGTTTCAGCAGATGGTGGTCGCCCTTCCTGGTCAGTCTTAAATATTTATTGCAGGACAATCTCGTTCTTACATTTAGGAAATCAATCAAGCTTCCATTTCTTTGAGAGAGATGAACGGGCGCTTGCCCACATAAATAATGGAAGAAAAATCCCTGTATTCTCCAAACAGCCACCTCAAGCAACCCAAGAGCCCAAGAGCAGGGAAATCATGAAGAATCCGTGAGACTGGCATAGCAACCCAAAGGTGGCAGCGTGCAGCTATAACCTGGCTGCGTCCATGCACAAGATCATGTGCGTGAAATAGTGTTAAGCGAAATGGAAGCCCTGGCCAGGACATGCACACTGGTGGAGACCGTGTCCAGTCCGTGTACGCCCTGACCCCTACTGGAAGGGAGGTGGGTTGGGGGGAGAGGGAGGATGTAAATCATTACATTTGAATGTTCCTTGGCTGTTTTATTTTCCTGTCAAGTGGCTCAAGGCTGATTTTTTTTTTTTTTCAAGCATTCCCTCATGGCCAAGTATGTGTTTCCTTGGAATTGAAATCTAGGTTGATGGTTTTATATTTTAAAAGCTTTCATTGTGACTCATTCTTGGCCTGGGATAGGATTCTGTAATACTCCCCAAGCTCAAAGAGCCTGGGTGTCCTGTTTCTTGGGCTTTGTACCCACTTTCTAACATTTTGCCAGTGGATCCAAGAAGTCACTTTGGGAGACAAGTGTTTCATTGTCTTCTTGTCATCTTAATCAGTGCGGAAGGGAACCATAAACATGGACTTTCCTGGCTGAAGCCAGACAATGGCAGGGGCAGGAGAAGGTTTTCAAGTGCAGATAGGTCAGTGGTTAGACAAAATGGGTCAGCAGCGCCAGACCCACACCCTTCAGGGAAGGAGTTTAGATGAGATAGGGCTCACGGAACCCTCATTTGGGGCCAGCGCGTACTAAGTGTGCTGACCGTGGCCACGTGTTTTACTTCAGGAGCCGTCCTGCTGACACAAAGCTCACGTAGGCTGGACTCTCCCTGGAAGGCTTCACAGCAAACTCCAAATAGTAGGTCATGGTGGTGGGAACTGGGTACTCCCTGAATACATTTCAAAATTCTTATTCTGTGGCTTAGGAACCCAGATGTGTCAAAACAGGTGGAAAAGGGGTTTAAACAGTGTCAAATGGACACCTTTTACCTTGGGCCTTCCTAGCGCCTTTTGGAAGACAGATGGTCATTCTTTTATCAGGATGAGCAGCAGAAGCCCCTGAGCCTAATGAATGTCTCGTTTGCACAGATCTGACATAACAGGTAGATTCTGACCAGATTTAGGAAACAGGAGCTTTGTTTTCTGTCTCCCCAAATAGCTCCTCAAAACCTTGAGTATTTCCAACCTCTGGAAACGCCCTAGCTCTGTCTGCCTTCAGCCACGATGCCTCTCGTGAGCAGAGAGATGCCAGAGAGAGGCAAGTTTTGTTTTGTCCAGACTCCATTAGGTTTTTATAGCAGACAATTCAATTCAGGAAGCATTTCTAAAAAATCTAGCAGTGGCTCTGCCTAGCTCTTGCCAGGCACTGCTAAAACAGCTGAACCAGAGCAAACCTCTGGCCTTCAAGGAATGCAGCCTCCACTGTTCTGCCCAAATGCTGCTTCTCATCATGTGTGTTTCTCCAACAGCCTAACACACACTTCCTCTTTCCCTCCATCCATCCTCTACCCTGCAGCCGTGGTGACCTTTCCAAAGCGCGACTCTCATCATGTTAGTGCCTGATTGAGGCTCTGAACCAGCTCCCTCTGGCCCACACCAGCGACGCTCAGAAGAAAACAGGTGTTCTCCAAGCCGGGCCATCACTAATAGTAACTAATGACGGTCTTTTCTTGGTTGGCAGAAGCAGATTAAGCTAATTGATGGAATAGTCTCCACTTTAAGTGTTGCTCCCCTCACTCTTTCTTAAGCCTTTGTTCACTGCTACCCCTTGGCTGAATACAGTGTAAGATTATATCTGATTGATCCCAGGATCATGAATTTCACTGACAAATTTTTTTCACATATCAACATTTCCTGGTGTTCTGCACATGGGTGTTCTGTATGGTGGGGGGTCTGCGGGGAGGGAGGCCAGGCATTCAAGACCCTTCCCAACAGCCCTCCACCCCAAACAGCGAGCTCTTCCCTTTCCAGACCTTGGCTCAGGTGGTTTTCTCTGCCTAGATTGTGGGTCTTTCCCCTTTGGCTTTGTGAACTCTTCCTTCAATTCTTAGTGCCATCCATTGTCTACATGTCATAAATGTTTATGGAATAGATGAATGGTTGGACTGACAGATGGAAAGATGAGAGGAAATATATTAAGGACCAGCATATACCAGCAGGTCAAGGCCTCTGGTCCTCTTTCCCCACTTCCTCCTCACTGTGCTCCAGCTAC